ATCCTGCGTTGCTGTTGGGCACGGCTGGTGGCCACCCCGGGAGCATGTGGCAGGGCACGTTCCCCTGCACCTTTCCTCCTTCGGCGAGGGCTGTCTCCCAGCATTGCTCACTGCATCCCCAGGAGAAGAAATTATAATGATTCATTTGGACCAAGACCGTAATGTTTAACTCCTTTCTCCTCCTTCCCAGAGTATCAGTTTTCAGCCAAAACCCACGCAGATGTACTCCAGAGAAGGAAATAATCTGCAGATGTTGACCGTTCCCAGCTCTCACCTCCCCTAGGGGGCCAGTGACAACGACTTGGGACCTTGCCAGGTTTCTGGGTTGACTCGTCTTTCTTACTCACAACTTTGTGTTTTAATATTATACCACGTTACTGTTGGCCAAGTATCTACAGAGTTGTGAATTGTCCCCTGAGCTGTCATGACAGAGATACGTTTAATGCGCAAGAGCTATTATTTCCCAAATATTGATGCCCTCAAGGCTTGCGGGATTTCTTTTCAATAACTCAGCCTCCTGCCATCTAGGACAGTGCTGTATATAGGAGGACGTATGGTAAAATGGAACAGGGAGGTGATTTTTCTTTTCTAAATATTGATGTTAAACACTCTAAAACCACACTAAGGAACAAAACCGTAGATCTGCCTGAGGGAGGTGTGACAAGCTTCTCTGCAGGATTTCATCTTGCAGAATGATGCCAGCCCCCGTCCTGGCTCCTGCCCTTCTCTGCTGGCTCGTAGCCTCCGGCTCAGCACAGCCCTGACCCGGGTGCAGATGCCTCTGCAGCACTTCGTATACACACCGTTGGGAAGGGAAGGTGCTGGGGGCAATGAAAGTAAGGTCTAAGCAACGGTGCAGCATCGCCCCTCCCCATTCACCCTGCACTAGGGGAATGCTGAGCTCACGTCGGACTGAAACGGCTGGGATTTGGCTTAAAGCTCACAGAATGTGTCTCCAGGGGAAATTAAAGAAGCAAATTAACAGCAGCATCTTTTATTTTCATAAGGCATTTAAAAGCACCAGATGCATATAATTTTTATTTTTGGCTCTCTAAACTTAGGCTTTCATATTAAATGGCAACTGGCACTTGGAAAACTCATTTTTAGTGGATTGCAGAGGGAGAAAAGCATGGGCCAGATGCACTGAGTTTTTCTTTTGACCAACTTGCACAGCTCTGGTGATGCCAATTAATCCGGATTTCCAGAACTGCACAGAAACCCAGGAAAACACCGCTGACCTTGCTGTTCAGCTGTGTTTGAACGGCAGTCAAACTCCATACCGGCTTGTCGCTGGTATGGAGCCAGGACAGGGCCTTGCACGGCCTCGCACGGCTGCTGCTGCGGCAGGGTTTGCACCCACAGCCTGGGTGGGAGCCCTTGCTGCAGAATTAGCATTCGCTGGGACTCTGCAAGCCAAGAGAAACTGGCTCAGTTTGTAGCTGTTTGACAGAGTAGCCGGGCTTTCATTTTCCTTAAAATGCTTCTTGCAAATAAAGTCGTGATCGTCGGTTTGAAACGGCAAAACAGTTGTGGGGCTGCTCGTCCCTCCTGTGTGGCTTTGGCATCCCGCTCTGCCGAGGGACCAGCAGAAGGTACTGAAACGCTGTGGCCCTGCAGCTCTCAGTTCGCTCCTTGGCAAAGGGCTTTGCACCTCCTTCCCTCCAAGCGGTTTGGAAACGGTGCTGTGTACAGAGAGAGAAAAAAATGCAATGGGTGTTGCCTTCCCACACAGTCGTCATTCTAGCTGAACAATTTTAACTGTTGATATGAAATCTTTATTTCAGTAAACTTTCAGCTAAATGTCAAATTATAGCCATTCTTCCTGTAACTGTGCCTTTGAAAGCATGATTATTAATATTACTGGTATTATTTTATATGACTTTCACAATGCGAACTGTTCATTTCTCCATGAACAGTTCATTTCTCCGTCTAAGTCCAGAAGGAAAACTTCTTCATTTAACTTCAGAAAAATTCCTTCTCACTAAACGTGAAGGAACAATGAATAATTTGAGGCACACACAGGGCAAATATTTTATTAATGCTCTGAACACCAAAACGCAATGTGATAGCAGACATGGGTCGGTGCTTTTTTCCACGCGTGTGATCCCTGGGATAAAACTGTTCATAACAGGGCTGTGGAGGGTGCACACAGTGTGGAAAATGCTTCCCATTGCTTAAGCCCTGGAAAGTAAGAGATAAGCAAAATCTCAGCTGCTGGCAAGAAAACCAGCTAAAAAGCAAAGTAATCTATAACGGTAGGCTTCTATAGGCAAACTGTAAATAATACTGTATATTGCCGTGTGCCACACACTGAGACAAGTATTTCCAATTTGTCAAGAGTCGCATTTCTTATATACCAGTAGCAGGACTTTATTTTTCATCCGCACTCTAATGAACACGTTGATAGATCTCCGTGCCCAAATGCTCCCAGTGTGCTGGTGGCCGTGCCAGGTGTGCCGTGTGGGACAGCCGCCGTGGACCACGCGGAGGGTGCCGGGGGTGGACACGGCGGGCA